AAAAAAAAGTAAAGAAAAAATATTCATGATATTTTGATCGGAACTGTACTAAATCTATATATAATTTTTTAAGATAAAGGTTGAAGTTTTCTTAATAGCTCATGGTGCCACCCCTCCACAGTGTATTCCTTAAAGAAAAGAAAGCTGTTTAAGAGGTATTTGTGAGCTTCATCTTTTGCTTACCCTTTGTGTGCCTGTGTTATATTCTCTGAAAGTAGGGGTTCAAAGCCAACAGAATCAATAGTCAAGTGAGAGCAAATATTTCATTCAACCACCCATTACTTATTAAATTTATTTCATTCACTTATATCAAATAAGTATTGAAACTTACTATGTTCCAGAATTGTAAAAATTAGACAGTAGGCAAACATGAAGTTATTTGGCTGTCTATACGAAGTTTCCAAGGGGCTGGGGATTTAGCTCAGCGGCACAGCGCCTGCCTAGCAAGTGCAAGGTCCTGAGTCTGATTCCCAGTACTAGAAAATAAATACATATATATATATATAAAGCTTCCAGCACTGTGCAAAAATAAACCCTGGATATGTAACCAGCAACACACTATAGATTTTGCAGAAAATACAGTTCTACAAAAGGATGATGGTGTCCTTAGTTTTATCTGGAGCTTCAAGAAGACTTCCTAGAAGTAGTCATACAACACATGGGTTGGTGCCTATAGCATAAGTGAGATTGCCCAGGTGAAGGGAGATGTGTATTGCCGGCAGAGGTAACTGCATGTGAGAGGGTCTTGGGGTAACAAGTAACGGGGATATGGTTAAGGATTTAAAAGAAGATCAAATGATTTATTCCTACAGTGTGTATCCTGAGGGGCCAAGAAAAAATCATGAGAAGTGAAAAGAAAACAAATGCTACATTCAGAACCTGCGAAGACATGTCAAAAATTCTTACATCTATTCTAAAATGTTTGGAAGATTTAATGAAGGAAATATTTAGCTTTATGGCCATGGTTGTATGGAGAAGGAGTTGGCAGAGAACTAGAAGAAATTTGGTTATAGGTTGTGTTTGTCTGTCTTATCTAGGGAAACAGAACCAATAAAATATGTGTATATATGTAGGAAATACATACACATAATCACCTCCTTTTACC